CCAGGCCCCCCAAATCCCCCCCAGACCCCCCAAATCCCCCCCAGACCCCCCAAACCCCCCCAAATCCCCCCCAGACCCCCCAAATCCCCCCCAGACCCCCCAAAGCCCCCTCACAGCGTTTGATGCCCCCCTGGGCGCCGCTCCCGGCCGAGCTCTGCTGCTTCTTCAGCGCCAGCAGCGCCTTCTTCTGCGGGGGGAGGGGATTGGGGGGCTCGGGGGGGCTCGGGGGGGCTCGGGGGGGCTCGGGGGGGGGGGGGTGGGGGGGGCCGGGGGGGGCTCGGGGGGGCTCGGGGGGGCTCGGGGGGGGCTGGGGACCCCCGCAGGGAGACCCCCGAGCCTCAAATGCCCCAAAATCCCCTCAAATCCGTTAAAAATCCGCCCGAAATCCTTCAAAAACGCGCCCAAAATCCTTCAAAAACGCGCCCAAAATCCACCCAAATCTGTCAAAAATCCACCCAAAAATCCAACCAAAAATCCTTCAAAAATCCACCCAAAATCCTTCAAAAATCCACCAAAAATCCACCAAAAATCCACCCAAAAATCCTTCAAAAATCAACCAAAAATCCACTCAAAATTCTCCAAAATCCACCCAAATCTGTCAAAAATCCACCCAAAAATCCAACAAAAATCCACTCAAAATTCTCCAAAATCCACCCAAAATCCTTCAAAAATCCACCCAAAAATCCTTCAAAAATCCACCCAAATCTGTCAAAAATCCGCACAAAAATCCTTCAAAAATGCACCCAAAATCTCCCAAAATCCTTCAAAAATCCTTTTAAAATCTTTCTAAATTCCTCCTAAGATTTTTCCGAAATTCTCCCCCCAAAATCTTTTACAAATCCCTCAAAATCCCCCCAAAATCCCCTCAGAGCCCCCCAGATCCCCTGTGGAGCCCCCCAGACCCTCAAAACCCCCCCAAAAAACCCGAAATCCCCCAAAATCTTCCCAAAATCCTTCCAAAAACCCCTCAGACCCTCAAACCCCCCCAAAATCCCCTCAAAATCCCCCAAAATTCTTCCAAAAGTTCCTCAGACCCTCAAACCCTCCCCAAATCCCCTCAAAATCCTTCCAGAACTTCAAAATCCCCCCAAAATCCTTCCAGACCCCCCAAAATCCTCCCCAAAAAAACCCAAATCCCCCCAAAATCCTTCCAGACCCCCCAAAA